AAAAAAAAAAAAAAAGACAAAACTATAAAATAACTGAAACAATTATTAAAAGATTTTAAGAAAAATTATTTGTAAATTCTTCCCTTATTACTAAATATGTATATGTATATGGTTTTCAGTTGAGTTCTCAATCTTGTGCTCTTTTCTTTTGAAGATCTCTTTTATTCTTATCCTTTCAATGACAACACCAAAATATCTGTCTAGCTTTGACCTCAATGCCAAGACCAGATCCACATCTCCAAATATCTATTAAATTAGTTCTTTTTTTTTTTGAGCCCAGGAGGCAAGGCTACAGTGAGCCAAGATGGTGCCAATGCACTCCAGCCTGGATGGCAGAGGGAGACCCTGTCTCAAAAAAAGAAGAAAAAAATTCTATTAAATCAACTGAATTGAGTTTGTCCTACTTGCAGTAAAAAGTACCCACTTCATAGAGTATTGTACATACTTCTGGAGTTTGGTTTTCTCTCTTAAGAATGATAAATTATGGTTCCCAAGTTAACTTTAAAATAGCTAGTCCATGATACACAAATATTCCCTCCTTTTTATTGCTTGCTAATTACTTTGTCGTTTGATTTGTTGTTTGAGTCAAGGATTATTTACTAAGGCATTCTTTAATTTTTAACTTTAAAATGCTTTACCTGTATATCACCCTATATTTTCCAAATCCTTTAAAATGAGTAAGTATGTGCTACTTTTACAACTAAGGCAAAATAGTAAGTTTTTTAAAAAGGTTATACTTAAATCTTTTATTCATCTAGAATTTATTTTTGAGAAAGAAATGCAATAGGAATCCAACCTATTCCCAAATAGCAGATAGTTGTTCCCACAATATTTACTAAATGATATCTATTTTCCTAAAATTTTACATTTGTTGTAAATTGAATTTCCTTATGTATTTAGGTTTATTTCTGGATTCTACTCTGCTCCACTGATGTTTCCATATTTCCTTCCCAATACCAATAAGAAAAGTTTGGTAGCTTGAAAACAAAAATTTTTAAATTAAATTATCATTTTATTGCTTGAGTACATAGACAAATTTATACGACCAGGGCAGAGGCTGTAGATGACTCATTTCCAACTGGGAGGGAGGACTCACTTGGTCTTACAATATTGAGCCAAAGGGTCAATCCAACTCTGTCAGACTTAGACGGAATTTAGTATCCTTAACCTTTCTGTTCATCTCAAGATGCTTTCAGACAACTACTTTTTTTTTTTTTTTTTTTTGATGGAGTTTCACTCTTGTTGCCCAGGCTGGAGTGCAATGGCATGATCTCCACTCACTGCAACCTCTGCCTCTTGGGTTCAAGGAATTCTGCTGACTCGGCCTCCTAAATAGCTAGGATTACAGGCATGTGCCACCACGCTCAAATAATTTTTGGTATTTTTAGTACAGATGGGGTTTCACCATGTTGGCCAGGCTGGTCTTGAACTCCTGACCTCTGGTGATCCACCTGCCTTGGCCTCCCAAAGTGCTGGGATTACAGGCATGAGCCACCACCCCAGGCGCAACAACTACTTCTTAATTAAAGGGTAGAGATCTTCAGGGAGATCAGGAACAAGTCCCTTCTTGGACTTAAGAATTCTTAAGATTTTATTGCCTGTCACAAAACGTACTTGAGCAACACCATGTGAGTCTCTCAAGATCACGCTTGAAAAGGGAATCATGTTTTAACTTCCAACACCAAAGACAAACTGGAGAATGTGATGACATGGAGGCTCAGGTATCATGGCAGAGTTTCCTATTTGTAAGACGGAGGTCTACTTTTATACATCACAGAAACCAATATGGGAATGCATAAAAAGCCCCGACACTAAGGAAAACCTTTCTGGTGGAAACTGAATGTTGGAAAACCATCATCACAGTGAAAAACTTTTTTTTCTTTTTTCTTCATCTCTAAAAAGTTTTCAGAGATGGAGCCTTGCTCTGTTGCCCAGGCTGGAGTTCAGTGGTGCAATCTCAGCTCACTGAACCTGCACCTCTCCAGTTCAAGCAATTCTCCTGCCTCAGCCTCCTGAGTTGCTGGGACTACAGGTGCCCACCATGCCTGGCTAACTTTTTGTATTTTAGTAGAGATGGGGTTTCACCATGTTGCCAAGGCTGGTCTCAAACTCCTGAGCTCAGGCAATCCGCCCGCCTCAGCGTCCCAGAGTGCTAGGATTACAGGCGTGAGCCACTGCGCTCAGCCTGAAAAATATTTTAAAATGGTAGATACAGTTAGTCTTCCCTCATTTCTTTTTTTCCCCACAATTTTCTTGGTTGTTTTCACATTAATTTTTCATAAAGACTTTAGTAATCTTTATTATGTTCTGAAAAAGAAAACCCTTATTGATGTTTTCACTGGAATTGAATTTCGTTTGTAGGTTATTTTGAGTAATTCACATCTATACAATATAGCGTGATCCTAAGGAAAAAGTGTATCTTTCCATTTGCCTAAGTAATTTATGTCCCTTCGTAGAGTCTGAAGCTTGTCTTCATATAGTCTACCTATTTCATGTTAAGTTTAAACCTAGGCACTTTATTTTTGTTTTTACTGTAAATTAAAATTGTTTTTCAATACACAGTCCAAATGAGTATAATTTGGACACAATAAATTCACTGATTTGTTGGTATTAATTTTGTTTTATTGAATTTTTGTAATGTTTCTAACAGTTTTTCAGTTAATTATCTTTGGATTTCCAGGTAAACAATCACATTATTAGAAAATAATAATTTTACCTTCTCCTTTCTAATATTTTGTATTTTCTTAGTCTTGCCCAATTGCATTGGCTAATAAAACTAGAAAAATGTTAAACAGATGTGGTGACACCAGGCATTATGAGCTTCTCCCAATGCTACATCATTAGGCACAGTAAAATTACATTTTTTTTTTTTGAGATGGAGTCTCATGCTGCCTCCCAGGCTGGAGTGCAATGGTGTGCTCTCGGCTCACTATAACCTCTGCCTCCCCGGTTTAAGGGATTTTCCTGTCTCAGCCTCCCGAGTAGCTGGGATTAAAGGCGTGCACCACCATGTCAGCCTAATTTTGTATTTTTAGTAGAGACGGGGTTTCACCATGTTGGTTATGCTACCCTCGAACTCCTGGCCTCAAGTGATCCATCCGCCTCGGCCTCCCAAAGTGCTGGGATTACAGGCCTGAGCCACTGCGCCCAGTCCCTAGAGGTTTTTTTTTCCTTAAAACAAAAACCTACACAGCTGACGTTCAAAAACATTGACTTTCAAGTGAATGTTATGCTAATACATGCACATAGCTACATAAGTAGTATCATAAAATAAAAAACACTAGCAAACATTTACTGAGCATCTCCTGGGTGCTGGGCACTGGCCTAAACACTGCCTTAACAGCTCTTTCGGAGTCGATTTTGACTGCATACAGTGATGGAAGGAAAAGAGCACTGCAGTGGGAATGTGAAGACTCGGGTTCTAATCGTCTCTCAGTCAGTGATTTGATGACCTTGGGAAGTTCTTAACCAACAGCTTCCACTTGCCCAGCAGGGGAGAATTTGGGTGAAGAGGAGGCTGTCTTCGAATTTATATGGGAAAAGGCCTCAGGTTACCGCTGGCCTTCCCTCCTGCACACTGAAGGAGAGTTTACAGCTGATGCATAGACAGGGTAGAGAGAAGGGCTGTGGAACTAACATGTGGGGACACCACTAGATCCAGCCATCCACTGCACCTCCCCTGTGAAACACGTCAGCGTCACTACGCTCTCTCGTGACGGGAATGCAGAATCTGGGCTGCCGGGCACCATTTCGCGAACCCGAAATTCTCACACGCACCCCATGACGTTCCGCCGGCTCCCAGGCACAGCTAGGAGAACAAAACTTGCATCCTCCACCTCCGGGTCCCAGACGGCCCCCTAGAACGCCGGCACGGTACCTAGGCCAACGGCCCCGCATGGGGACCCAGGCCTCCTTACTCTTTTGGGGACACATTCAAGGCTTAGAGGCCACCCCAGACACCTTCTCCGGGAGAGTGACGTCGGAGGAGGAGGGGGCAACGCAAAGGTCAAAAAGGTCAGGGAGTTTCGCTCGCGGAGCCGCAACCCTCGGCAGAGATCCGGGCCTGTTCGGGGGCGGAGAGGAGGCCGGGCCCCAGGCTGTTGAGTGGCCGCCCTTGCAGCCAATGGGCACGTCGCCCCACTGCGCTGGGGCCCGCCCCTCCGGGCGCGCGGTACTCACTTTCCCCACTTCGGCGTTGCCCATGGAGATGACTTTGATGCGGAGGGACCTGCTGGGCTCCTTTCGCTTCGGCATGTTGGCCTCCATGGCCCTGGCTCTCTCGGGGCAACCCGCCTCGGTCTCTCCTTGTGCACAGCTGGCCCGTCCCTCAGGCCTCCTTGTCCAATGGCGGACCCGCTGCTCTCGTCACTGCCTCGGCTCCGCTGCTCGCCATCCCCGCCGCTGCCTGGCAGCAGGCGCTGGCGGTTGGGAGCGCTCGGAGCCGCGGGAGGGAGGCGGGAGTCTCGCGATGCTACCGCAGGGCAGCTGACGTCATCGGCAGGCCCTGGAGACACTGCTGCAGTTACCGGGTCTCTAGGGCCGCGTCCCCTGACAGGAAGGCGGCGTTGGAGGGTGGCTGGGTTTACCCTTCGGGGTGAGCGCGGCCTTGTTTTCAGGGGCGCCTGGACGGGAGACGTTTGTTGCTTTCGCAGCCAAGTGCTGCAAATCTATTGGCTATTCAGGGCAGGTCGGATAGTGTCTGTTCCGTTTGGTGTTTTTTTTTTTTCTTGGATTCTTCTTCGTTCCTTGGTCCGTTTCGCCGGTCCAATATTATGTTCCCCTTGCTCGAGATCCTCGAGAGGCAGGCACCGGAGCCAGTAAAGTAGGGGGATTGGAACCCTGGTTCTGGAAGAGGGCCTTGGGCAAGGCGGGAAGCGATTCTGATTCTCGTTCATATCGTTTTTCTTTTTAAATGGACTTGTCCATTTGGAGTCAAGGCAAGAGCGTTAGTTCAGTCTTGGCCCTCCTGTTACAGAGCTGTGATGGATTTGTTGACTCCCCTGTCGGAGAAAGGCTCGGCCTGCTGCAGGTGCTAACGCTCCGCCGAGGTGCGGGGCTGAAGCTGTGGGGCGTCAGTTTCCTCCGCTGCCCAGCGTTCACGTCGAACGTTACCTCGAGTTCTGCTCTCGCCTTCCCGTTAGCTGACAATGTAACAGTGGAAGAATAATGAGTCCTAAGATAACCACTTTCCTGCTCTCATTCCAAGGGATGAGAAAAGCAGCTGGTTGAATAAAAGTCAATCTTACAAGAACGGTAATTTTTTTTTCAGCCAATATCTTCAGTTACTGAAGATAAATACAACTTGGCAATGACTGTTTATAGCGCCCTGAAAAAGAATGGCTGCCAATTTCCCTGTATATTACAAAGACAAAAGTAGCATTGCCTCTTTTCTCACCTAACTTTAAACATCTTCAAGGAAGTGCATTACAGGAAGGCAATGAACAAAGGCTCAACAGTTCATAGTAAAGGTCAGATTTTCAGGCATTTTAATTTTAAAATGTGTTTTTCAAACTTTTTTTTTAAGACAAGTTTATTCTGCATTGTTTTATTTTATTTTTTATTTTTTTTTCATGTCAAGACGTGTATTTATTGTTATGCTTTGGTATGAAATCCCAGGTATTCTGATCTGGAAAAACCAAAATAAATAAACACAACTTTTAGAAACTCGATGTTTATTTTCCATGAATCTTACATGTTGTTTAAGAGCCCACACAAGAGCAGCTTAAGACCGTTCAGTGGTTGCTCCTACCCATTCAGTGGCCTGAGCAGTGGGGGCTGCAGACCAGTCTAACGTGGCAGGCTGGGCGCTCCAGTCTTCAGTAGGGAACTGCTGGATGGGCACAGAGGGCACCTGCACGCCTTCAGACCAGTCAGCAACCTCAGGCTGAGTGGCAGTGAAAGCAGGGGCCGGAGCAGTCCATTCGCCCTGAAACTCCTCCTTGGTCACAGCCTTCTCAGCAGCAGCCTGCTCTTCTTTTTCAATCTCTTCAGGATCTCTGTAGAAGTAGAAATGAGGCATGACCTCCCACGGGTGTTCACGGGAAATGGTGCCACGCATGCGCAAAACTTCCCGAGCCAGCATCCACCACATCAGACCCACTGAGTGAGCTCCCTTGTTGTTGCATGGGATGGCAATGTCCACATAGCGCAGAGGAGAATCTGTGTTACACAGAGCAATGGTAGGTAGGTTAACATAAGACGCCTCTGTGAGAGGCTGGTGGTCAGCCCTTGGGTCAGTAACCACAAGCAGCCGTGGCTCCCGGAAGGCTGCCTGGATCTGGTTGGTGAAGGTTCCAGGAGTAAAGTGGCCAGCAATTGGAGTGGCTCCAGTGGCAGCAGCAAACTTCAGCACGGCCCTCTGGCCAGTATTCCTGGAGGATATAACACTGACGTCAGCAGGGTTTTCAATGGCAACAATGGCACGAGCTGCCAGGAGAAGCTTCTCCCAGGCCCTCTTCAGATTTACGATGTAGATGCCATCACTTTTCCTTTTATAGATATACTATTCCATATGGAAGTCAAGGTTGGTGCCACCTAAATGCGTTCCTGCTGCCAGGAACTTAAGGACATCCTCCTCCTTCATTTGCAGGACATCAAGGGTTCCGGACATTGTGAAAGTTTCCCTTTAAGTTACGACGGGAATCCAGAACAACGCCGTTTGGAGCCCTCGGCAGGTAGCGCGGAAAGCTGCATTGTTTTTATAATCAAATAATATAACTTAATTCACTGAAGCTTCTAAAATTCTTTACAAATGTTAAATAGGTCCTGGTTAGAATTTGGATAATTTTAAAGCTTAAAAGAATCCACATGCTAGCTTCTCAGTATGATTTAATAAATTACTAAACATCCAATTTAGTCTACAGTTCACCTTTGACCCCATAATAGGGTAGCCGTTAAACGACTGATTAAGAATGGTACTGTTGAGACTAAGCAATAAAACATGCTAGAGATTAAAATTGATTACTGTTTTTTCATATTGATGCCTTTTTTTCTTCTTCTCTTGAAACGGAGTTTCGCTCTTGTTGCCCAGGCTGGAGTGCAATGGTGCAATCTCGGCTCACTGCAACCACTGCTTCCGGGGCTCAAACAATTCTCCTGTCTCAGCCACCTGAGTAGCTGGAATTAGAGGTGCTCGCCACCACACCCAGCTAATTTTTGTGTTTTTAGTAGAGACAAGGTTCCTCCTTATTGGCCAGGCTGGTATTAAGCTTCGGACGTCAGGTGATCCGCCTGCCTCGGCCTCCCAAAGTGCTGGGATTACAGGCGTGAGCGACCACGTCCAACCCATATTGATTCTTTTGACATTTTAATATATATAGCTACATTTTCTATTGTATGTATTAAATTAGTTTGGAATTGAAAGAGCAAGCAAGTCCCCCCGACCAGCATCTTTGAATATAAAAAAATAAAAATCAGCACGAGTTAGCTGCTCTTCCCATAGTATGGACCTGGGAGCTATGGTTCAAGCATGGATTCTGGAGCCAGCCAGTTATACTTAATGTTGGCATATGATGTAGGCATGAGGTTGTGGTAAGGATTGTAGGAGGTAATGCATATGAAGGGGTAGTGGCCGCCCAGCAGACAGCAGCTACATGCTTTCATTTGCTCATACCTTTTTTATGTATTAAGAAAATACACATTTTTTAAATGTGTATTTTTAGAAAGTAAATATGGGGGCCTGGCGTGGTGGCTCACGCCCGTAAACCCAACACTTTGGGAGGCCAGGAGGTCAGAAGTTTGAGACCAGCCTGGCCAACATGGCAAAACCCCATCTCTACTAGAAGTACAAAACTTAGGCAGGCGTGATGCGGCCTGTAGTCCCAACTATTCAAGAGGCTGAGGCAGGAGAATCGCTTGAACCCAGGAGGCAGAGGTTGCAGTGAGCTGAGATCAAGACACTGTACTCCAGCCTGGGTGACAAGAGTGAGACTCTGTCTCAAA